AGGCTTGTAAACTCCTTCCTATACGCAGGCTGAAAGAGGACTTTATTGAGCTGATGGACCTTCTGGAAAACTGCTTGTAAAAAGAAAAGAAAACAAATGGTCAGCAAAGATGAAAAATCAGAATCTAATTCTGAAACAATGTTTAAGGGACCATAAACATTGGCTTTTGCTGCAATTTTCAGAAATAGATGGATTTGCGGGGTTAGTTGTTTGAAGTTTTGGATTTGTATATCCTGGAAAAACCAAGAAAAACAATCATGTTTTTGTAGTCTGGTTCTCTTACCCCACTTAGGATGAAACAGACCAATTTATGGACATTGGGGATTGTAAGGTCAGGGGAATCTGTCTACATGTAACTGGCTTATTCCTGTTCACACGTGTGTATTTGATTACCATGGGCATTGCCAGGATTTTTCCTAGAGGGGGGCAAAACATATTTTTGCCAAAAAATGCCTGTATTTCTCAACACATTCTCGATTAATCAGTTTTAGAGGTGGGCAGGGACATCCCCCCCCCCCTTGTGCCCCCTTGCTCCCCCCTCGGGACGTCCATGTTGATTGCAAAGAAAATGCGGACTAACTAAATATGATAAATTAGGAGCCCTTTTTGAAAAAAGGCAGTTTTTTCCAACGCTGGTCGGCTGACCAGCAAGGGCAGATCCATAAGTGACATCACAATAAAGGTAGGCACTCAGGCCCGTCCCCCCAACGGCAATGTGTATTTTTGTATTTTTATAGTTGGTACTATGCCCCCCCTCCCTCCCTTCCCCCTCCCTCCCTCCCCTCCCCCCTTGCCCGCCTTTGCCTCACCCATGGCCCCCTTACCACGTCACTGCCCAAATGTTATCTCAAAGCCATCACAAAGTGATAATATGTCCTAAAAAGTCAAAATTAGCAGGGACACATTTTGAATTTTTACTGAGAAAACACTTACAAATGTTCAGACCAGTCCCATAGGGTTTGTGCACAGGGTGACAAGTGATGGCCAGATATGGGAATCTTTCTGTTATCTCTTACAAGTATATAAACAAAACAGGCTGCCTATAGGCGTAAAATACTCATAAACCACAATTCTTGTCAGTTAATAGATATCTGCTGGTGCTTTAATTCGGTGCCTTAATTTATATGCTTGCTTAAATCTGGATTTTGGAGCCCCAACCTGACAAATTTCACGAGAATTTGGCCGGAGAATTTCAACCTCTATTCCCACCCGAAATTCCCCAAAAGTTGTAACACTGTGGTCGGTGGGTTTTGCTTTATAACTTAAGGCACACAAATTTAAGATTTTCAGGCAGAAAATAGCAAACTTACTTCAACTTTTGTAGCGGTTGTAAATTGTTCGCAACAGCCTCCACGCCCGCGAAGAATTGAAATGGCGGACAGACCACGTGTTGTCGTTTCAGCAGTGTACATGTACATGTATGTACATTTCAAACACTTGAGCCAGAAGCCGTATTCAGGCTCGACACGCCACAGACGAAATTCCATGAGAACGCTCAACCAATGGCGTTGCCGATTGTGTGCCCGTCGTAAAATATGATTTGCATAACAATAGCAGAGTCTTGAAACAAAGTGTACTGTATAATCATTGGTGAATATCGGCTAAACCATTTTCCCTCAATAAATTCTGGCCTTATAATTATCGGCCCAAGTATTAAAATATTTATCTGACAGAAAAAACGATGCCCTTTCCTTCAAAAACAAAATTGGTAAATTTGATTTTCCTTTTTACAAAATGCAACTGGTAAGGGGTTAACCTTGCTTTTAAAGGGAATATACATCATTTGCTTTTGCTGTAATTTTCAGAAATGGATGGAATTGGGGGGTTGGAAATATATAGCAAATATAGTTACACTGACTTTTTTGAGGTTTTGGGTTCAAAAATGCTATAAAAACCAAGAAAAACAATCATTTTCCTGTAGTCTGGTTCCCTGACTCCATTGAAGAAGAAACAGAGCAGTTTACATACATTGGGGAATTGTAAGGTCAGGGAACCAGTCTAGCTGGCTTGTACCCGTTCATAGTGTGTGTAATCGATTGCAAACAAGTGCTATGGTCAATTGGGGCCAGTATTTGAAAAAAAGCCAGTTTTTTCCAACGCTGATCGGCCGATCAGCGTTGGAAATTGATACAAAAATAGCACGTTTCTTGAAAATGACAGTATACCAGGTGCCATGATTTTACAGGATGCTTTACACTGTCATTCACTAACAGTCCAGCAAGGTATTTCAAAATGATTTGGTAGTTTTATTTTTTGATGTTTGCAAATGTTGTATTTTCCCTTTAAATAAAACGTTTGCGAAAGTAGATTTTCTCGAAAACAAGCTTTTATATACAAATTTGGCAAAACACATATTTACTCTGAATATGAAAATGGTATAATAAAGGGACTTGCTTTTAAATAAAAGAAATTGGCCAAATTAGATTTGTTTTCCCAAAAGAAAAGTGAAAATGGTAAGGGGCTAACCTTGCTTTTTACATAAAGTTTGGCAACCTTTGATTTTTCTCAAATAAACAAAACAAATTAAGGGCTTTTCTTTATACAGTTCATGCAGAGTAATTGAAAATTGAGGGGGAAAATTGAATTGCCGTAAAAGGCAAAATTGTAAGGGTTAACCTTTTTTATTGAATAAAAATCAAGCAAAATCTGACATTACAGAATGAAAGATATGCTGGAAACATGTTTTCTTGTCCATGGGTCCTTTTATTATTTTCCGATTTTGCCCAAATTTCAGATATTATACACGTCATGAGGTAAGGAATATCAAAAAGTCTACGTTGCATCAAACGAACATGTTAGATTAACGGCTAGACTCACAACTACAGAAGTGCAACTACGGTCATTGTTTATGTCATGAACCTGGCTTCACTCTAACTTTTTTTCTGAACTAGGAACGGACCATCAGCTAAATATTTTTCTACAAAAAAATATGATTTCTTTTTTTACAATCAGCAGGGACTTAATTATTCAATAATTCAGATAAACCATAATTCAGCATAAAAACAATATTTCATTGATAAAATTGTAATTCCTCCCTGATTCAGTGGCAACAACTACCTAGAAGTAAGTCTCTGAAAGTCTAAATACACTTCACAAGCATTGAAAATTAGCACGCAGAAAATTAGTGAAGAGTTTGTTTCTTAAATGCCATTTTGTTACTTTTTAGAATGCCGCCCTATTTTAGCCGCCTAAAGTTAGTTTCAACAGCTGTACATAGTAGAATACATTAAAGCGAAAAAGGAAGTTTAAAAACAGCTGTTATACTGTTTTTATAACTTTAAAGTTTCATAACTGTGGAATTCTTTTCATTTTTTTCAAAAAGATATTGAGTTTTGAAAATAAAATAAAGTCAAGCAGTGAAGAAAGCTAAGTAGCTTGAAGGAATGTGCATATCAAATTTCATAGTGAATCCTCTCTCTAATAGGTACATGGTGATATTAATGGTGATGTTCACATTGACCTTTAAAGGGAATATACATCATTTGCTTTTGTTGTAATTTTCAGAAATGGGTGGAATTGGGGGGTTGGAAATATATAGCAAATATAGTTACACTGACTTTTTTGAGGTTTTGGGTTCGAAAATGCTATAAAAACCAAGAAAAACAATCATTTTCCTGTAGTCTGGTTCCCTGACTCCATATAAGAAGAAACAGAGCAGTTTACATACATTGGGGAATTGTAAGGTCAGGGAACCAGTCTAGCTGGCTCGTACCCGTTCATAGGTTTGTAATCGATTGCAAACAAGTGCGATGGTCAATTGGGGCCAGTATTTGGAAAAAAAGCCAGTTTTTTCCAACGCTGATCGGCCGATCAGCGTTGGAAATTGATACAAAAATACCACTTTTCTTGAAAATGACAGGTGCCATGATTTTACAGGATGCTTTACACTGTCATTCACTAACAATCCAGCAAGGTATTTCAAAATGATTTGGTAGTTTTATTTTTGATGTTTGCAAATGTTGTATTTTCCCTTTAACATTTGAATTCTAACTCACACTGCTGAATTTAACAGAGTCACATAGGTCCACACTCCACAGACTGGATCAGTTAGAGAACGTCTCAAAAGTCGGAACGTTCCCGTTCTGTATGGAAAGTTCCTTTGAGTAAGAGTGCTCGCGCATAGACCAACATTCCCACGCGGAAACACTTGGCGTTCCCGGTCTGTTCCCAGCGGGAACCATGCGTGTTCCCAATTGCGACAGGCAATGTTCCCCGGTGGAACGTTCCAAGCATTCCGACTTTTGAGACGTTCCCTTAAAACCAGAACGAAATTTCCCAACTACAGTGAAATCTCGACAAGTCAAACTCTGATAACTCAAAACAACTGTTAAGTCAAACTTAGAATCCATTGCCTTCAGTAGTATAACAATTGCATCAACAATTGCAGGCAGACAGTCCAGAAATGCTGAAGAGAATTACTTCGGTAATTAATGTGAAGTTCAACATTGAAAACAATTGAGATTCGATCAAGCTACATGAGTTGTTTGTCGGGAATTTTCATTAGGAGATACAGGCCAAAATAGGGCCACTTCATCACGTCTCTTGGTGTCCCGACTTCCATAATTTTTGAACTAAAGATGGAACCAGCATGCGGTTTTCACAGCAGTAATGCTGAGACTGTGCTCTTTTCAAATCTGTACTGAAATTTTTTTTGACCGGGGTCAACAAACGACTCATTTGGCTTGATCACATCACAATTACATGAAGGAAAAACTACATGACTTGTGAAAGACTGGCTGTTGCAAAATTAGTACAAAAACTTTGCCTTTCTGAAACCAAATTCTACTTGGGTCCACTTGAGTCGTTCTCAATACATTTCGGTTTGACACGACTCTGTTATCGGTTTCCCGGATCATCGGGCCATCGTACAGAGGTGCGCGCGGAAAACTTGGACTGATCTGACCTTGTACCCGGGGACCGGATGAAATCAAACATCGTCGCGTGACTCCTGTCAGTGCAACAAGGTCGTGACTCTATTCTGGAACAAAGTCGTATCTCGCGCGAAAATGCTCCGTGCAACAAGGTCGTGTCTCGACGTCCATTGACTTTGTGTGTACATCCAGACGGGTTATTTTAAGTGAGATACGACCTTTTGAAATTCTGAAACTCGCATTTCATGTACGGCCCATGTTAGGAGATACGACCTAGTTGCACGGACATGACAGCATGTTTGATTTTTGTTGCATCCGATTTCGCCAGATCCGATTTCACTGGACGCAATATTTATGTTAACTAATTGGATTAACGAAGGAAGACACATGGTTGTCATCATGTGACTGGTCATCATGTGACTGATCATCATGTGACTGATCATCATGTGACCGATTACAGGACGGAACAGGGCATTTGCGTAGGTACCGTTGCGGGCTAACCACAACAGTTAAAAAAAAAAGTACTGGTGATGGGGTGATCCGGAAAACTGGTAAAATCGGGAACTCGTACGCCGGGCTTTAGATCAGTCTGAAACTGATATTAAAGAAGACAACTGTGGAATTAGTTTCTGATAAAGTCTAAAACAGCTGCTCAGGTAAACAGTTTCATCCATGTGATTCCCGCTAACGACCCAAACAGCCATATCTTCCAGTACAGCTGTCGCCCGTAGCTGGTCCCAACCAGCGGTGCCATGACGGCACAGGTGAACGCCAAGGCGGGCAGGGTGGACGCCAGGCTCAGGTGGGTGCTATGACCTTTGCCCTCCAGGTGACCTCGCTTCTCGGGGTCGTCGGAGTAGAAGTCTGACAGCATACTGAAAAGAAAGATATCAAAATAATTGAGCCACTATTACTGAGGCTACACTCAGAGAAGTTTCTTCTGCACTTTGAGAAGTTTCCTGGATCTTAAAGGGAAAATACAACATTTGCAAACATCAAAAAATAAAACTACCAAATCATTTTGAAATACCTTGCTGGACTGTTAGTGAATGACAGTGTAAAGCATCCTGTAAAATCATGGCACCTGGTATACTGTCATTTTCAAGAAAAGTGGTATTTTTGTATCAATTTCCAACGCTGATCGGCCGACCAGCGTTGGAAAAAACTGGCTTTTTTTCAAGTACTGGCCCCAGTCGACCATCGCACTTGTTTGCAATCGATTACACACCTATGAACGGGTACAAGCCAGCTAGACTGGTTCCCTGACCTTACAATTCCCCAATGTATGTAAACTGCGGTTTCTTCTTAAATGGAGTCAGGGAACCAGACTACAGGAAAATGATTGTTTTTCTTGGTTTTTGTAGCATTTTCGAACCCAAAACCTCAAGAAAGTCAGTGTAACTATATTTGCTATATATTTCCAACCCCCCAATTCCATCCATTTCTGAAAATTACAGCAAAAGCAAATGATGTATATTCCCTTTAAACTTGGAACAAATGAGTTCCCTATTAGGCACTTAGTTTAAAATCTGCATTCAAGGAACCAATGTATCTTGTAATCAGAAACAATAATGAAACTCCTACTTGGAACTCATAATCACCCTCCCAGGAACCAAAAAACACACTTGGAATCAAGTAAAGTTCTACTGGGAACCAAAGAATCTCCAACTTGAGATTAACAAAACCCCAGCTCTGAACCAATGACAACTCCACTCAGAACAAATTTATACTCCATTCAGGAACAAAACAATCTTCAACTGGGAAGCAACGAATTGGAACCAATGAATCTTTGAATTGGAACCAATGAGTCTTCCCCTTGGAACCAATAAATCTTTCCCTTGGAACCAATGAAAATCTTCCTGGGAACAAATGAAAACCAACCCATCTGTGGAGGTCACAGGTTTAAATTCAGTGAAGCTCTTTGATCAACTCAATTATGATTAAATTGAACCTTGTGAGTTTCCTCTGGTTGCTCATTTTTTTTACATAAAGTTTGAACCGAGACTCACTTGTCTTTCTCCTCGAAGAGTTCGTGCAGCCATCGATGGCAGGACTCCTCATCTTCCGGAACTGTCTCCAACGGAATACGGCGGATGTGAACATGAATACGAGGACATCGAGACTGCAGAAATTCTAGGAATGTTCATAAAAAAATAATAATCAAAGACAACAAATGTGATGCAATCAAGCTACATGAGTCATTTGTCGGGAATTTTCATTTGGAGATACAGGCCAGAATAGGGCCACTTCATCACATCACTTCATCACATTTCTTGGTGTCCCGACTTCCATATTTTTTTTTAACTAAAGATGGTATCAGGATGCTGGTCCTTGAGGTACCCCAAGTGGAGAAAAATCAAAGGGGGTTATGACTTGGAGACCTGGGCGCCCCTTGTTCAGGCTCTTGTTGGCGCCATTAAATAACGTTAAATTCCCCCTTAAAAATATTAAGAAACATTTACATTGGTAGTGTTTTTGGGTAGTCGCAAAAAAAGGCCTGCGTCCTTTGCATGCATGGATGAACATCAGTGAAATTTGTCCTGAATGTGGTCAATACCCAGAGCGAATGCTTGCTGAAGAGAAAAACTTGTAAGATTTCCCGTTTTTGTGGGAGACGACGAATTATCTAAAAGGGAATTTTTTTTTACCCGCCCTGTACACTAAATAGCGTCCTCGTTTCCAGTCCACCTTACCTCATGAAGGCTATATGAGCTTTATTATTACTCAGGGGGGGGGGGGGGATTCCTTATGTACAGTGCTTTGAGATGAGTCTAAGGTGAAGCCTGGTTTCGGACTCGTCCTCAGCATATCGATCTCACCTGGCATTCCCGGTGCCGGTCTTCTCTCCACTGTTTCCATCCAACTGCATTCTTCCCCGGTGTTGGAGTACGCGATGGTGACATCGTACACGGCGCTGGTGTGTCCCCTCAATCCCTGCACACACATGTTGACTGCCTTGATTTTCGGCGACAGCACGTGATTCGTTACAGCTAGACCTAGTGTGTGACAAAAAAATGTTCATGTAAGGGTAAGATTCATGGACTTCCTGCACAGATATAAAAAAAAAGATGTGATAGACACCTGAACATCATTAAAGGCATATAGGATCGTTTGCTTTTTTTATGCAAAATTTTACTCCAAATTTCAAGAAGAATTTTCAAAACCTAACCTGTTGAAGTTTCAGCTCTACTCAGTGGATATTACATTATTGAGGAAAACAGTGAAAAACCATGCGCAACCTTTTGATCACGAAACGCGATTGCGTCTGTAGCACTCTTTATTTCCAAAAATCAGTCAATGGACTGATCGTTGGAAATCACCTACATTTCTTGATTTCCTCTAAGTGACAGCAAACCAGATGGAGTAATTTCACGGGGTGTTTAGTACCAGTACAATTTTTAATCCAAGTAAGCTTTTTGATAATAATTCGGTAGATTACTTTTGGGATAAATTTAAATGATCCTACATGCTTTAAAGGGAATATACATCATTTGCTTTTGCTGTAATTTTCAGAAATGGATGGAATTGGGGGGTTGGAAATATATAGCAAATATAGTTACGCTGACTTTTTTGAGGTTTTGGGTTCGAAAATGCTATAAAAACCAAGAAAAACATCATTTTCCTGTAGTCTGGTTCCCTGACTCCATATAAGAAGAAACAGAGCAGTTTACATACATTGGGGAATTGTAAGGTCAGGGAACCAGTCTAGCTGGCTTGTACCCGTTCATAGGTGTGTAATCGATTGCAAACAAGTGCGATGGTCAATTGGGGCCAGTATTTGAAAAAAAGCCAGTTTTTTTCCAACGCTGGTCGGCCGACCAGCGTTGGAAATTGATACAAAAATACCACTTTTCTTGAAAATGACAGTATACCAGGTGCCATGATTTTACAGGATGCTTTAGACTGTCATTCACTAACAGTCCAGCAAGGTATTTCAAAATGATTTGGTAGTTTTATTTTTTGATGTTTGCAAATGTTGTATTTTCCCTTGAACATGGTCCAATGGTAACAGCATCTGACTCAAATGTGATGATACATGAGTGTTTGTGTTCTTGGGCAAGACACTTTACTACAGTTGTCTCTCTCCACTAATAATAATAATAATAACAATAGCAGGCATTTTTATAGTGCGTTTACGCTGCAACGGGGCATCAAAGCGCTTTACAATTATTGTTCTAAGGAGAATATAAATTGACGTATAGCACCCTCGGCTTCGCCTCGGGTTGTTATGCGCCCCTCAGGTGTTCAAAACGTCGTATCCCACATCACAGCAGTCAACAATTGTTAACTGATCTTGATCTGCTGTTTAAAAAATGATCTTGTGGTCAGCTGGGGCCAATATTATAGAGCTGCTTAAGCACAAAATTTGCTTAAGTACAAAAACGTCTTGCTTAATAAAATCAGGTTCCCGGCCAAAACTCCATGCGATTGTTATACTAAGTAAACAACAGCTAAATACCAGTCACAAGCAATGTACATCACATGGAGTTTTGGTCGGCAACCTAATTTTACTAAGCAATGTTTTTTCGTGCTTAAGCAAATTTTCTGCTTAAGCAGCTCTATGAAATTGGGCCCAGCTGATGAACAGAGGAAGTAATTGTGAACTGTGTATACCATTTTTGAAAGCAAACGCTTGGCTAGCTTTGATGAGTTCCAGATTGTATGGATTGTAGCGCGTGCCCTCTGGGAATATCACCATCCATGTCTGAAAAAACAAAACGACAAAAAAACGCCAATCAATTAAAACAGACGATGTTTAGAATCAAATTATCATATCAATTTTTTTCTTCTCTTATCAATTTTGTTTTAAAGATATAGTCCATCATTTGTAATTAGTGCATTTTGTTCATTAGAAGCAACAAAAGTGCTCAAGATCTAAGGAAGGGTGCTGAACAACTAACCTGATGAAGTTTCAGCACAGCTTTAGCTGTATATTTCGAGAAAAAACAACATTCTCGATTTCAAATCAAAAGTTGCTGAATCACGTTTTGAATTGGGCCTGAATTCAGCGTCCGAGACACATCCTCACTGAGTTGATTGCAGCTACGCGATTTCGCGCACTGATTCGACGAATTGTAGCAACCGGGCGCGTGTGTGCGTCGTGCCAATGCTTGCGCGCGCTTCGCCGAATAACAAAACGAACAACTAATTTGAATTTCCTATGGTGCTTCTTAAGAAGCACCGTTGGAAAGGCCTTCATTTGTTGATTTCTTCATAATGACAGCTTGCCAGAAAGAATAATTTCACAGGGAGTTTAGTCCCCTTACTATCTTTCAACCAAGCATGGTTTTCAACAATAATTACACCAGTTACTTTTTGGAAAGCTGCAAATGATGGACTCTGGCTTTAATAGAACCGGTTTTTACTGCTGTAAAATCCTTCATTTCCTCTGAATTTCAACTTTGAAGGGCATACACGTACAAACCAAGTAAAAACAATTTGTGGTTTGATTGCACCTTCGTATTTCACGTAAAATCCTTCAAAACTTGAAATGGATTTTCAAGGACCTTGGGGCTTTTTGTTAATAAGTTCAACAAATATTTACAAGACTTTTAGATGTAAAATACAAACAGGCTCGTGGCCCCTCCATACTGAAAAAAACTGCCTTCTTTACAGTAAACAGGCATGCAACTGGGAATTTAGAAGGACAAAAACGAGGAAACTCCAAACCACCTAAGACTTTGTACAGTGTTTTTAAATTTGTAATGGCATTCATGAGAAGTAAAAAAACGAGGAAATCAGCGGAGCCGAGGAAAAGTTGCATACCTGAGAAAATAGATATTCAGGGTTCCCAACTCTTTATGAAAACAACATTTCTTGAATTTTCCCTGAAAAATATTTTCATTTTAATAGTCCGAGAGCCCGGTGAGGTTTAATTAGAATATCGCGCACAAAAGGTTTGGTGGTGGTAGCGAGTAGGTGGGGATGTCCAACCTTCAAAACCGTCATTCTTAAGTGTCGCACCCCGTGCGTTTGGGAGGGGGCACCACCTAAAGACCCCCCAAAATTGACTTTTAATTAGAATATCGCGCACAAGCACGGTTCCAACGCGAAAAGATAGTATTCGATTAACTTATCAATGACCAATAACTTAAGAATGAGAAATCCCGTGCATTCCATGCTTAAAGATGGCCTAATTAGTGCTAATTATTCACCTTTAATTAGAATGTTGAGCACAAGAGCGAAACCTGCACTAAAAGCTAATTAACGTGACCAAAATCCGCAACTTAAGAATGGATTTCCCGTGCATTTTGTGCTTAAGAACGAGTTAAAGTTCAATAATTAGCCGCCCTCTAAGGAATTATTTTTTCATGTGTTTAATTAGAATGTTGAGCATTCGAGGTTGCTGGGAAGTCGAGAGGTGGTTGCAGCAAAGCAACTAGGATACTGATAATTCACGGGCAGCTTGTTGACAAGCGATGGCCTCCCTTCTTCCCTTATAGCCGTCCTTTCCTCACCATATGCAACACAGACACACATACACCAAACTGGCGAAACACTTTTCCTTCTGGGTCACTGTCAAATTCCCTGTTTTTCCCCAGATTTTGTGGTTTTTTTCCCCAATTCCCTGAGTGTTCCCCGACTGGAAAAATGGAAAATCGTTTTCAAGATTTCCCCCGATATCAAAATGTTGGAGTGATATTCTACTTATACAGAGAATCCACAGTCTCATGATATATGACTTACTGGAATGTCTTTCTTGCGTAAGACGTCTAGTTTCTTGTGGAATCGCGCGGCGTTCTTCTCGTCAAACTTCTTGGCACGCTTGACATAGACGCCACCATGCTGAAACATTCAAATACAGAAATAACCATTAAGAAGGGAGCAATAATGCAACCATAGATTCTAAGCATACTGGGCCAAAGAGTTTTAAGGCAACTTTTAGAATTTTTTTTGTATTACGTTAATGTGAATTTACACAATTATGAGCACAGATTTGGAGGGCATTTGTGAGGCGTTCTGGCACTTTTCTCCTTATAATACTGTTTGTTGCACTTCAAATCGGACATTCCGTTGACAAGTTATAGCTGTTTAAATATTGCATTTATCGACAGGTCCAATACCATGAAAAAGGTCAGTTTCAAGTTTTAGAGTCGTGAATATGAAAGATGCCAATTGATTTGCCTTTAGAAGCACTTTTATTCTACGATTTGTGTACTTTGTCTTTAAAATATATTTAGAAGACATATCAACGATTAAAAATATCAACAAATCTTCAGAATCTGCCACTTTCGACTTGGTGTCCTCCGATGTCGATACAGCGCTGGAGACGGTGGCGGAAGGCGCATGCTGCAGCCGAAAGCTTCTGAAGGAACGCAGGATCACCCCTGATGTCATTGCACACCTCCTCGATCATTTATCCGCAACACATGATCAAGGAGGTGTGCAATGACATCAGGGGTGATCCTGCATTCCTGTAACGACATTGGAGGACGCCAAGTCCAAAGTGGCAGATTCTGAAATCGAGTATTTTTTTTCGTATGGCATTTAAATGTCACCCTCTTGCACAAAGCTGATGAAACTCACTCCATCAAATGTGTCATGCCGTGTTTACATGATCTGAAATTTTGGGTTAATTCCATTGGTAAACAGCAGGGTTACTTGGGATAAAAAGTAGGACTTTTTTTACACATAGTACCTCTGCGTACTTACTTGGCCAAAGACCCAGCCATACAGCGGCATGTATTTCAGTCCGTCCTTCAGGATAAAGCGCATATGTCCCAGCATACCGCCACGGATGGCTATCATGTTAGCCACTACCCAGTCCATGGTCGTCTGATGGTTGCACATGTAAATCACACTCTCCGGCTGATCCAGTGTGTTCACATCACCATACAGTACTACCTGAATTCAAAACGTAATCACACAAGACTCCGTTCAGTATATTTCACACATTAATGGTTCCATCATTTGCAAAAACAGTGCTTCTATTTTTAGTCGCCAATTATAAGTTATAACCCATTCAATGATTGTCAGTCTTTGCAAAAACATGAATTTGATGATGATGATGAAGTGATGATGATGATGATGATGACTCATTTTTCACCCTACGCTACTACAGGCATGACAGGTAGGCCTACCTTCTTCTAACTTGAAATTTCCAGCTTTCTAGACTCACGACATGGGCCATGATGAGGAGATGATGATGCCTAGCGGCGATGTCCAGTCAACTAAAGTCCTGAGATTGGCAAACCTCCCCCTATCGTGAGCCTAGAAAGCTGGAAATTTCAAGCTAACCTTTTTCCACGAACATGACCATGACGAACCCAACGAAATAAAGAAAAGAAAATTAAAGAAAATCAGTAGGCTTTATTAAAAATTCACAAGGGTCCATGTACTTCTGTGCCTGTGTAGCTCTCAAAGAAGAACTCGACCAGTCGCTGATACGTCCCCCAGATACAATCATCGACCGCCCGGTGCCACCGCTCCGGCAGGACACACGACACGATCCGCCAGCCACTGAACAACACGAAATATGGCGGCGCCGAGCCCATCATGACGACGGCCGGAGCCATGAACTTCAACGAGTTCAGATGGGTTATAACACTCAACATGTTGTAGCGAACAAAGCAGATGATCGACGAGCGATCAAATTGCTCAGTAGTAGGATTGCGGGAAATAAAATAAAGGTTTTTTTCGTCTTGAACTCATCGATCATTCGATATAAAAATTCACATACAGTGCACATGCATGCAACAACATGCATAGCACATGTAGCACGTGAAGCGGGAGAGTGCGCCCTCAAGTGACAAAATATATCCAGTCCCCTTATTTCGTTTTCAAACCTCGACTGTGTTTCAACTGAGAATTGTTAAAGTTTCGTTTCAATAGTCACGGTGCACGTAGATAGATAGAAACTATAACCAATAAAACGAGCGCGAGATGTGAAGAAACCTCTTTCACTTTTTTTTTTCAAATAAATATTCTTTTTTGGTGTTATTTTCTGGTTTTATGCGTCAAGTGCATGACTTTTTGAACATTGTTTCACGTGAATGTATGGATGTAAGCAGGTGGCACCTCACAAATGCAGAACAGCACGATATTATTATTGTGGCAGTTATTTTCCAGTAGCCACCTAATTGTGACGAAACTTTCCCAGGAGTGCAAATATAACTTCTATGATGATTCGGGAGGGAAAAAAGTACAATAAACTAAGCCTGTGATGTGCATCACTCACCACGCTGCGGCTCATCAATGCAAAGACTAAACATGTCAACATTATTTGTCCATCTTTTTTTTTCAATAACAGCTCGGTAACTCAATCATAAATCATGATGTATTTTTTTTTTCAAACCGAGTTCTGCTGTAGGCCTGTGATCTATGTACATGTAGGCCCCCTACAATATGGTTTAGTCAATGGACTCGTCGTACCGCCTGCCGGCCACGACGTGGACGTGGCTCGCGGTCCGAGTTTTGACCATGCAATTACCATGACGAACGCGTCCGTTTTGAGTTCTGCCCATGGGCGTCGCGAGGGGGGGGGGGGGGCAAGGGGGGCACTTGCCCCCCCCCCCGGAAAAGCCAAAAAAAAAAAAAGGAAGACAAAAAAAGAAAAAAAGAAAAAGAGGCGCGAAGACAAAGTGGTGCAAATTTAATGAGTTGGGGGGGGGGGCAAAATGTCCCTGCCCCCTCTAAAACTGATAAATCGAGAATGTGTTGAGAAATACAAGCATTTTTTGGCAAAAAAATGTTTTGCCCCCCTCTAGAAAAAATCCTGGCGACGCCCATGGTTCTGCCCTGATAAACTTTGTCATGACATTCAGTAATAAAAAAAGGTCGTAAAACATTGTAGATTTTCATGAAATCCCCCGTGAAGGATAATGAAACTAGCCCCAACATTCGCCTCAAGATTTCACATTCGCCACGCGAGTTCCTGTCACTCGACCGGTGCGGAACATATAGAGGCCGGCCAGGGGTCCCGGTATACGTCTAAAGCTGGCCCGCGGGGAACGACCTTTTTTAATTGATGAACTCACCACTGACCGGTTGAACGCGTATACCCGCACCTGGACCTTGTTCAACACTGCCCTGTCAGCCACACAGCTGGACTATAAATATTAGTTACTATTAATATTATTATCGTTTTCTTTATTATTAAAATTAAATCAAAAGGTGGCATAGTGATCGGCTTTAAACGTTATGGGCTTGGATGAAAAGCAAGGCTATATCGCTGTCGAGATAGTTCTTAAAATAAAACGGGACTGCACTACACTTTTGCTTCATTTTAGGCCTATACGATTTGATGTTCTTAAGTATTTCACGGGGCCATATTGAGCTGGAATTCCCCCAAACACCTCAAGGACCTATCGGAGAGAGACTTTCTTGAAGTCAAACCGACACCAAGCGGCGATTGGAAAACGCCATAGATTTGTGAACACTTTTTTCTATGTACCCATTGCGCCCTCTGTTGACAGTAATAAGACAACTCCACACGATATCCGCAAGAAAACGCCACCCCTCGACTATTTCACAGCAAACTCCATGAGAAACTTGGTCCTCAGCACTGGAGTGATTGGTGTCCCACTGTTGGGTCCAACATAACCTAGATCAACAATGCGACAACAAGCCATTATATACCAACATGAGGAATGTTTGGCTGGTTTGTCCACGTCCATGTGTATCGACCACAACTGAAACACGCGCCGTGCGTCGCTGTTTCTACTCTGGCGATGGCGGAGGGGAAATCCCCGAATTTGGGTGTTGGCTTCGTCAATATTACGCGAAACTAAGCTTCACAATCCAGGGTCCCTATTGTCACAACTCCCCATTAGATGCCCGTGGTCTGCTGGAAAATTCACTTGTACAATTTTCCGCTCCTCGAAATAATGGGGAAATCAAGAATTAACAAGTATTCTTGGATTGAAAACATTTTACTGCACGTACCCTATCAATGCTGTTGGAATTGTGACTGGAATGTTTCAAAATGAAAACTTCAAACTTCGGATTCGTTATTTATCGAAGTCTATTTTGCGGGTCCCAAAATATCAGCTTACATAATAAGGTCATCGGAAAGATTTCCATATAAGAAGTTCACTAATTTTCCTCTGTATTGACTAACAAGCCCCCAGATAGCAATTTCATGTCATCAAAGTCAATTTGAGCAGTGAGAAAATACAAGCATTTTTTTAGAAAACACTTAGAATTTTTCAGTCCAATCTCATAGGATTTGTACACAGTGTTGAGTGAACTTCGTATATGGAAATCTTTCCAAATCATCTTTGTACCGTTCTCGTCGGGCTGTCTGTCTGTCTGTCGGGCTGTCTTTCTGTCTGTCTGACTGACTGACTGACCGACTCCCCGTCACGTCAATGAAATAGGCTTGCTCAGAAATCTCATCTTGGCCAAAAATATGACTCAGATGATAAACGAAATTGGGCCAGCATTAGTTGGGTTTTATGTTCAAACGTTTTGCGACACTGCCGTAAGCTTTTCACAAGTGATTAACCTATTTTGAGGTCACGCAACGCCATAGCATCCTTATATCACGCGGTAAAATAAACAATTGCCTCGTAAAACAGCTTGTTATTTGAAACGCTTGCTGTGACGTTCCCAAGGATTTTTAAACAAACACAACAAATAAAACAGTTCTGTTGAATGAAACTTAATCTCTGTTAGCTGACCTTATCACTTTTATACTCCCCAATACAGCTTCTGTTGCCCATGAAAGATTTAATTACAAAACAATGTACCTAAACATTTATGAATATTGTTAAGAATGCAATCAACATTTACAATGCCCACAATGGTGTCCACCGTTATGTTAACAGTACCATGTTGTGGGTTTTTTGCATTAAAACTTTATCAGTCCTTGTGAACTACAGTTCGGTGAGTCAAGTACCGGCATATAAACGCGTTGCCAATTGCAGTGAAGCTCGATATCAACTCTTTGGAGTATCATTGAAATACTGCATTAGTCCTTGGTACAGTAAAAAAAAAGGTTGTTTATGAAACAATAACTTTAAGTTTTAGATCTTGTGTATACGAACTTACTGCCATATCGACTACCTTCTGTTCCTCAGATGAATCTGACGGGTATGTTATCTCATCAGGTTTTCAGGCCAATTTCCTGAAATGTCCATTCACTTCTAAAAATCGGCCATTTGTTTTCGTCTGAATATATGAATGCACGTCTTTAATCCCACTTCAATTCATGGAAAGTTCAATCGTTTTCATTGTCCGTGCATTCAGTTTTGAGAAACAGACGGCCACACGAAACGTTACCTGCGCATTCATTTACGCAAGCATGCCTTTTCGCGTAAGAGTTCTGGAATGCAATCTCGTGAATTTGCGATCAAAAGTACGTTTTTCTCATTAAAAATAACAGATTACATCACAGAACAGTAAACTAAAAGTGAACTAGAGTAGTAAGGGAAACCTAGTTATATGTACATGCAGTTGGATAACGTAATATGCTACCCTACAATTGGTATAAATGCCCATTGGATTGGTCGCTAATCTGGGTTCAGTTCATCCACTTCTTGAAAGGATGCGCCGTCAAGGGTAAGCAGGTGATATTCTGTCTTCCTTTTATTATTATTCTGTGAGCACAACGAGGTTAACAGAATTATAATCTACCATTATTACACCATCTTCATTCCTTCTCAAGTTAAAAAAAAACATGGCGGGGTTGTATGGGTGTTCGCCTCGTTTTCGATTCAAGATGGTCGTCGAACGGCGTGGCGGTATTCCATTGATCACAAAAGGTATAACCTAAAGAATTTATTTAAAAAAGATAATATTTATTCAAAAAGCTTATTATTTGGAGTAAAGATCGAACTGGTATAGAATTTTCCTATGTAAGATTCCCGCGAATCTCTTTATTCAAAGCCTCAAAAGCATTAAACCTAATTAAGGGATTGCGACTGGAAATAAGTCGTGCTTCCGATGCCTATAATTATGGCGACAGTGAACCCGTTGGATAATACGGCGCGTCGCGGCGTTTTAAGTCAAAACCTTCAGAGTATAGATACAGTTGAAATGGATCACTATAATGCAATCAACGATCAAAAGTTTACCGTCGAAGCTCAATAAAACAAGTCCTCATTAGAATCCAAATGGACTGTGTGACACGAAGAAACATTTCTTTTGAGGGAAGAGAGACGTAATTAAAGGCAAAGTAACTTGAACGGGAAGTAACTTGAACTGAAGAGGGGTCATTATACCTTTTGTGAATATACAAAAGAGTTCGTACAAAAAAGGCTGCGTTTCTGTATAATGAACGGAGTGGGGTGAATCTACACATTTACGCAGATACACATGTCATGCATAATTCATAGTATCATACATAATATTCATGAATTATAACCATCCTCATTTTTGATTGGTCGTTTCTGTCTATCGCAAGAATTGGCTGTAACCGGCCTCTCTATAGGTTTGCGTGTATATCCCGCAGCAAACTTGTATGGTTAAATATGTATTGCCAGAGCTATTTTCGAGTTTCTTCCCGAAAAATAGATTCTTTTTAAATTTTCTAAATGGCTATTTTTCTAGCAATTCCGAAGTTGTTCACTTTTACATCAGACATTGACCTAAAGCGGATATGGGCCCCGTGCGCCGACAAAGAGGGCGCCCTTTTACCTAGCAACGACGTCCCAGGATGCAGTGCTCTAATTCAAGTAAGAATTTCTACGCGAGCTCATTAGCATAAAATGTACCCCCCCCCCCACACACACACACTTACAATTTCTTTTGAAAACAGAGACCGTTTGGCTTTAAAAAGGTGGAATTGTGTAAATATGATAATAT